TATAACTCGACCCTACTACTTACGCAGCGGACGTTTAATTGATTTTCTATTCTCTATAATCTTCACTAAGTTGTGTTGGTATAAGTAACTCTGGAAATAATTATATTAGCAACCACACCTTTTAATATTATATATATATATATATATATATATATATATATATATATATATAGAATAACTAGCTCTGTTAACCAGCTGTTTTCTTCAGGATCATTCGACATAATTTTATCACTAATTGTTCCACTACCCATTTTACTCTGCTAAATAGACTATAACTTAGTTGCTGTAATACTAGCTACTTCTATACTTTATACTTCTTAAAGCAAACGTAATTTCCTAGGCGTTTGTAACAAATACTTGTATACATGTATGCATGTATATTGCGAGGGCTTCTGCTGTACAGAGAAGTCAGAAACGTACTGCTTTTGGTAGGTTTCTGTTGACTTTGTAAATTACTTTGAATGAATCAGTTGAGTTGTGGGAGGTGTTGGTTGGTCTTAGAATTCGAAAAGCCAGAGCTATGCGTTCAAAAGAAATTAGTCAAACCCCTACAACTACCATGGACCTAGTTCGGAATGTTCCCTTAGCTTCCGTTTCTTTTTTCGTCGTTTTTGATTCACTGTGTGTGTGATCATTGCTCTCTCTATCTTCATTCAATTCATTCCATATTTTCAGTAATAAGAACAGTTATCTTAAGTTTTTTTTCCATTGCTTTTCCTGCTCACATTTATAATTCGTTTAAAATAACTATTTTACAATTATATCCTAGTCCTGTGTAATTTTTGTTTCTCAGGCTATTGTAATCTATATTCACACCTCCTAACTTCTATTTCAAGTTGAAAAGTATTATTTTAATTTGTTTCCGTGCTCATTTTTTACGCACTTGTAATTCATTCTAATCCTATCTGATTTTGTTCCTAAGCCTCTCGTAAACCATATCCAGTTGAAAATAATTGTCACCTTTTTTTCGCCTTCGTAATTATATGGAATCAAGTAAAAATTGTATCTATGTAAAATTATGTACTTAAATTCGATTGTGCAGCTTTTGAAAATGAAATCGCCGAAAAGATATCTTTTCTGAACTTCGTGATCTCTACATTTTTTGATTTTTATGACATGTTAAGTCATTTTCCAAGAATATTTAATATATTTTTCATTAAAGTCTACTGCCTTCTGATATGTTAAATCTTTGAGCTGGTGCCAGTGCTCTTTTTTTGCGATGAGCTTTGTACATAGTAGGTTTGCCTCTATATTGACTGTCAACTAAGGGTCCAATGCATAACCGTATGCGTGTAATCTCAGACTTTAGTTAGTCTGAGAAAGTTAGGACGCAATGCAGAATATTTGAGGCAGGCTTAGGAGGCTTGTCTCACGTTCGGCAGTGCGCCCAAAGAAAATGCTATCTGGGGCACATCAGGGGAAAATATCCTCTTTAATATGTTTCATAATTTTATTTATTTTTCTTCTAAATTAATGGCTTTTCCTGAATAGTTTCCACAAGGTCATTAGTGCGTTGGAGCTCTTTGGTCGCTGTTCCTTAATTTCAACGAGAAGTATTATTACATTTGTCTCTCAGCAATGACTCAAATAAGGGACTCTTTGACCTGATGAGTGAAAAAGTAGTTATTTGATTCGGTTTTGTTAACAGCAGTGAACACCTGGACAGTGTCTGACTATACGCCACACAAACTTTCTTTGCAGAGGTCTGTAGTGCGAGAATCAGGAACCTCTGGAAATATTAGTCTGAAGCTTAATTTAAGAGTAGAAGGTTTTGTACGCAGGTAGATCAAGTGCGCTCCTCAACATCTAAGCCATCACAAATGATTCTACTAGAGCTGTTATTACTTCTGATTCTCGCCTGTGATCCACAGAACAATTTAAACTCTCCAGTACGTCAGTATGCAGACGACGTGAAGTTGTAGAGCGCGTTTAGCTCGGATCGGCGGATATTCTAACCATAATTGACATTTAGACCGTCGTAAATGAACTTACATCTGACAAGTTTTAGACAGTGTTTCTGTGTACACTGATAACGAGTACTCTTCTCTATATTTTAGGGTTAACGTATCCTACACAACGACAGTGAATATTCTTGGTCTAAATCTGGTGACAGCATTTCTCACACGTTCCAACGACAGGGGAGGTTCAGTCACAGGTATCATAGCATCCTGTTTTGTGGGCAAGAAGTCGGGTGATATCACATCCAATCAGTGTATGCAGCTGTAAAAAACATATCAAGAGTTACACCTCAAATTTCAATGTCGTGGGACCACCACTTTTAAAAAAAGACGTTGATCTTCTGGAGGAATTGCAAATAAAGGCATCAGAAAGCGTCCCAGGGTTAAAACATCAGTCGTGTGACGAATAACCTGGGATACTGAAACTGTATGGCTTGAGCCATTAGAGAATCAAAAGTGGTTCAATAAAAGATTCTGAAACATAGGAAAGCAAACCATTGTCTCTTCTATCCTACATGCAATTATTAAATTTCATCTACTAGGTTCCTTTCTTTTCACTAACTGTCTATCATAATACGCCAATTTTCCAATATGTTTTCCAGTGGTTCGAAGAATTATCAGGTGAGACGAGAACTGAAGATCTCAGCAACAGTATCCTAGAGCAAGATACACACGTATTCGCAGAGTAAATTTATATCTACCAACCCCACAGGACTCAGAGATATGGCAAACTATTGGATATATATATCATTTTGGAGTCTACCAATTATATGTTTGTAAAATTGAATTATAACTTGAACAACTCAAAAAATTCCTCTTGAAGTTTATATCTTCTAAAGACACCTTCGGCAACTCTAACTTTTGCCCTAATTAGTTAGTGGGAGGTCAAACTTATATTCTTCTGAGGTAATTCTGTAACGACAGAAGAAAAGGGCCAGGCAACAGATATTTATAGATTTTTATATACATTATTATTCGTTATTGTTAGCAGGGAAGCAACATCTTCTGATTGGTTGTTTTCCTGCTGAAGGTTATTCTGTCATCTCTTTGTGGCCGTTTCTTAGGTAGTCCGGTCATATATCTGCTAATAGTATCTGCCCACTTTAAGTATGCTGTGATTGGTTGTTGAGTTCCTCAAGGTTAGGCTTCGTTCTTGTTTTTTCCCATGCCCCCGATTCTGGACGTAAACATTGACGTAAATTTTTTTTACAATTCTGGCTTGCAGACGGTTCTCACCACAATGCTATTTCACAGGTTTCTGTCTTTTTCGTTGGCTGTCAAAGTGGAGTACTGAGGCTGACGTAGCCCAACTTGATTCCCTAAGACTTTAGTTTTTATTGAAACTCCCTGGCATGACTGGACATTACTGTGTATAATGTAAGCAGTAATTAACTTGTGGGTTAGACATAGACAGGGAATATTACCCATCATACTTAACGAACATATTTGTTTATTTGTAGTATTATTTCACTAGCTAATTCGGGACAGTTAGAGATGCTGAAATTGTCTTTGAAAGAATAAGACTTGAAAAAGGAATTTTGTGAGCTGCACAGGTTGCAATTTAGATTTACAAACTTACAACATGATGAAAAGCCTGAGAACGGCCACAAGCCATTGATATATATAATGACGCATGGGGCTGTGAAACCTGACTAGGGTTTAAAGTAAACCCTATTGAGAAAATTAAATAAGCCAGGAATAATGAGGTCTTCCTATATTTTTACGATATGATGTAAGACTGATTACTAAAGTTATTCGGAAAACAAGGAAAATGGATATATAATTAATGCAATATTTGAGAGACCGCTTTCAGGAGTAATGAAGCTGAGCAAAAATACGTGTCAAGTAGCATCTTCAGTTAATTTTAGGGCATCATCAAAATGCAGCAACTTTTTCTCACTTTTCTTAGTAAACATAATTCAAACGATACTAGTGAAAAAGTAGGACTTATAGATGAAGTCTCAACTCGGTTTGTAAAAATATGATATTCGCAATTAGTTATATTTGTTAATTTCTCCCACAGAATCACCCCTGTGGAGTCCGCTAAGATGATCAACCTTACCAGTGTAATTTTTCAATACTCAGATAAGCTTTTTACTTATAAACTGCTGATTTCTAAAATACTCATGATTGGAGAGATCGATGTGGAGATAGTATAGTTTTGTGCAGAAGTAAAACATTGTGCTTTCTTGCATTCATTTGTGTAGTGTGACTGGTACACGAAAGAAAAAATCTTCATAGTTTACATAGCGAAGACTCGTACAAGAAGGGTGAAAGTACAGATGAACTAGCTAACAGTGCGATAATAATACTTGGAAAACGGTGACATAGTGCGAGAGAAAAATCCAAGCGTGCTGAAGTAATGCTCAAAATAAGACTGATTGATAGTAACTGAAACCAGTAACCAGCTTGTCTCTAGTCCACTTGATTACATGAGATTAGAAATAAAATAAGATTTATTCACTATATTCACAATTTGCGAAATGCTCTATCATCTACCGGGTGCCAAAAACACCGAAGTACCGCATGCTCCAAACAACAGAGGCTATCGCAATTCGCATGAAACAACCAGTGCTTTGTGTGCAAAAGAAGCAAATTCAGCCACTACTACTACCCTGGCCTTCAGTAGAAACTAAAAATTGATGAATTTGTATTATTATCTATCTTAATTTATCTGACATTCAGTTTACTGTTATGTTGATGCTACTGAACTGTAATCTATTGATATTATTGATTCGATGCTGTTTAAACAGCATTAATGTTTTTCAAAACATTAATTCATTCACTATTATGTATATATAACTGTAGAGCCTGATGATGAAGTTATCGGAAAGAGTATTCTTTGTTCGGTATCCATTCTTTTGAAATGCTGAGTATTGTTAACCCTTCTATGTGAATGCAAGTTTGAAGTCTGTACAAATTATAAACTCCAGTTTAATTCAGGTGCCAAAATTTCAATTTTTGAACATTAGTGAAATGTTCTTCTTGAAATCGGGAAAGAATTAAAGTATAAATGTACAAAATTACACATATGAAAGAAAGTTATTTTCTGAGAATGGCATGATTATTTTGATCAACATTATCGTGTTCATTTGTGGGGAATACTCGTGATTCATTGGTTTCCAATTCGTGATTCGGAGTACTGAAAGAAATTCACCGAAATAAAAAGAAATCTTAACATACAAATAACAAACTATATATACATATATATATATTTTCTTGAAATATTCAAAAACAATTTTATAATACTTTTTCTTACCTTCTCATTAGAATAATATACTTAGCTGTTACAGTAATGCATGTGTGCAGTTGGTTAACAAGATTCTCAAGATCACGACGTAGACTGTTCATATTTCCTACTGACACTGAATCTTTACCTGGGAAACGGATTTTCATACGTAGTATTTCTTCTTTATTTACAACATTCTGCATTTCCATTTTAAGTCGAAGAAGTAACTACGAAAATAATTGATGGAATGAACATTGAATTTCGCATATTTCTCATTATTATACATTTGAAGAAATGTGTGTCAAATAAAAATAATTAATTTAATAACTCCTATGACCCAATGTGTATATTCCGTTATAGAAAAGCATTAAATAATTTATATCAGTGTAAAGTAAAGTGAGATGGTTCAATATGTCAGACAATTATTGAGAAATATTATTAGTCTATTTATTTCCACTTTAGTAATCCTTAATGGAACTGCCTAAAATCTTAGAATAAGACAATTCTTAATCTGAATCATAAAATATGAGTAGAATGTAATATTTTTTTCTGTATCTAAGAGACTAGTGAATAAAACTAATAGGTGATATGTTACGCTAAAATGTCTGCTTAACAATTCTTACTGACGATAAAACCACTGTTCCAGTTTATATTGTAAGGTAATGTGAAAAAGAAGCAATAATTTTTCGTATGTTTTAAAGCCTAAAAAGTTAAAATTATTAAAAGTGAAGAGAAATCTACATTGTACAAAATATTATAAGTGTAATTCAATTGAATACTTACTTGGTATAATGTCTGGCTTGAATAATCAGTTTCATTTGCTTCAAATGTAAATTCATCACCTGAGCTATAAAAAAAATAAATTGTTTTTTAAGAAATTAACCCAAATGATACAATCACTAATACGAAATAAAATTCTAGGATACTTGTGGTGAGAGCGGTCTACTAGCCAAGTGGTGGACAGTAATTGAGGTCAATGTTTATGTATCAAATATTAGTCATGTTGTGGTGAGAGATGGTTGCTGGCCAAATTGGTTGACAGTAATCGAGGTCAAAGGTCAAGGTGGACAGGCGGTTACAGTTAACATATAGATGAACTGACACAGCCACAAGAGATGCAAGGTTAACTTTGTGTGAGAAACAACCAATCAACAGACTGTATTTTCTATTAACATTGACCTTCAATAATGTACATAAAAATCTATAAATACGTGTTGATTTTTCGTAATAAACGATCTGTTGCCTGGCCCTTGTCTTCTGTTGTTACATTTGGTGTCGCTGCCTACCGACAAATGGAAAGCCTATGCCCTGCAGTTTTTGATGGAGACATATAGATCTTCGCGCAGGACTTCGAGGCTTCTTCGCAGTTGAGTGGCGTTCAAGATCTGTCAGCGATGAGGCTGCTACTTGGGACGCTGCCGGGAGGTCGGGAGAAAGCAGCATATGGAAGTGTGAGGCGAAATACCTACGAATGTGCGACAGGGTCAGGCAAACAGTTTCCACAGTGGGAAGGACCATATATGGTCACGTTGAGATGGGGTTACGCAGACGCAATCGCAATGGTAAACACCGTTAAACAAGTGGACATCCGCAAGCGCCGAGGTTCCAGACAGCTAGACAACAGAGCAAAGCCCCAAGAACCGAGAAGACCGAGCCGAATTCAGTCCAAGCTATTTGACGGGGGGACGAGTGTGGTGAGAGCGGTCTACTAGCCAAGTGGTGGACAGTAATTGAGGTCAATGTTTATGTATCAAATATTAGTCATGTTGTGGTGAGAGATGGTTGCTGGCCAAATTGGTTGACAGTAATCGAGGTCAAAGGTCAAGGTGGACAGGCGGTTACAGTTAACATATAGATGAACTGACACAGCCACAAGAGATGCAAGGTTAACTTTGTGTGAGAAACAACCAATCAACAGACTGTATTTTCTATTAACATTGACCTTCAATAATGTACATAAAAATCTATAAATACGTGTTGATTTTTCGTAATAAACGATCTGTTGCCTGGCCCTTGTCTTCTGTTGTTACATACTAACTTGATTTGTTGCCATTCCAAGCTAAGGTGGAAAGCAAAGAGTGGAGATAAATCACTTTATATGGTTTTATATCCCCACAAACCCGCTTAAGGAAAAAATAATTTCGATACCCATATTCAGTGATTTCACATACCAAAACCCCCAAACGGACAGGATTATAAATAGGAATACAGGAGGTTCGAAATAATCAAATTAACACAGTCTGCATTCACTAAGTCTTTCTTCATTACTCTAAAGCATAAAAGGCAGAGTTGGCTTCTTAAGTAATGCCCATAAGAAAACCAAGATTAGTGACTCAGGAATTCAAGTGATATGTTTTAAAGGAAAATTATATTTATGTCCTGATAACATATGTCAATAGTCAGTTGACAAGAATTCCAAGATAGCTTTAATGCTTACTGATGCCCATCACAAACGTGTCTCTATAGTGATGGAGTAAGATTTCCATTAAAATTAGTACCTCAATAACTGGACAGCTATATTAATTACCATTCCCCAAATGATTCTCACACGTCTAAACTTTATCCGCATACATATGTTTTAAACCTGTGTTTAACTGTTTCTACTCACTTAACAATCATTTTGTCTTCTACAATACCTTTTATCTCGTCTATGAAATCTCGATGTCTTGATAGGAAATGTAATAATTCTAGAAGATAAGCAACCATTCTAGATTCTATGCTCAGAAAGTCTTGTAAAACTGTATTGTAAATGATAACTGGTATTATCCTGGAAAGTTCTTTAAAAGCAATGCTAACTCACTACCACTCAATCCAAATACAAAGGGGTGTCATCAAACAAGTGAATTGCAACCAAATCACGCGTAAAGTTTGAATTTCGAAGTGTTCTTTATATGATTTTCTGGATTATCATCCCCCCCCCAAAAAAAACATGAAGATGGTGTGAAATGTTCTCTAACTTTCAGTAATTTCTCACCTGATTTCAAAACTACAAAACTAATGGACGGATAGAATATTTCCATTTTCGCTTATTAAATTCACTTAAGAGTGATGGAACACAAAAAATGGCATAGATTATCATGTTCACTATACTTTGTGTCCACAAACTTTTTTATCTATCCAATAGTCTGGTGTTTAGATCCCTTTGATCTGACTATGAACCACTACTTTTTGACGTGAGCAGTTTCCAACTATTTATATCAGTAAATAGTATGTACCGTCTTGTAGTTCACCATATAAACCAGAAAAATATCAGAAGCTAATTAACTACAATTCTACTTAACTGATATTTTTGGTTTTTAAAGTTACCTTGATAGCTTGAAATCGACATTGAACTTTTCTAATCCTTCTTTGTCCAACAGTTTCCAGGTAACCTGAATATCATATACATAAAAAACATGCAAAACATTATCGGTCACTGATAGAAATAAAAGCTTAGTAGGAATCAGAGTCTGCTAGTTACAGTCTCATCACTTAAATTTACTTTTAAAAACTGCTAGGAAAAATTAAGCAATTAATATAAACAACAATATCACTAATAATAATAGGCACATCGTAAATAAAGCATTCAAAACCTTTACAGTGCAACCATACGAGGACGATATTTAAAAAGTATTACAGAGAATTCTTAAAAAGGCTTTTTCTCTACAGAGTCAATTAAAAATAGGCTTACTGCTAAAGCATTCTCTTAAGCATGTTATACAAGTTAATTCGATCTTTCAGATCACTTAAAATGACTGTAAATTGAAACACAACTCAAAGTACCTGACCAGAAATAATTAAGTGATCAGATGGTAAAAATCTAGTGCAGTTAAGTGTGGTGCGATTAAGAAAATTAGGAATCTAGAGAGATGTTCAGATATAGTTATCCATACAATGACACGAAATAAGATAACAGGATGAAGAAGATTTGCTTGGGTTCCGAGTGGAATATAAGGATTCAGTATCACATGGCCATTTCACTCTGTTCTCTCCGGTCTCTTTTCAGATGACTCTACGTTTGCCCATAAGCTTTTATCTCCTCCTCACACGATGTCGCTCATTTTACCCTTAGACTCATGCCCAGCTCGTCGTCCTCATTCGAATTCTGCTCTAGGGTAGCCTGAGGCGGGATGCTACTCAGAGGTCTCCTCAGTGTGTGTCCGATCCATTTCCTTCTCCTCAGCCACATTTGTTAGGTGGTGGATTCTTGATTAGTTGGTCTCCAGAGTTCCTTCCTGCTTATCCATTTTGGCTGGCCGTCTGACCTTTAATATTGAATGAAGGTAGCTGTTGACAAGAGTGTGAAGCCTGTTGGGAATGCTTTTGTTGACGCAAGTGTCATGCAGCTGAACCATATAGAAGTACTGATTTGAAATTAGTGTTGGAAATCTGAATCTTGTTTCTTATGCTCAGTGCAGAAAATCTCTTGCTTTTCCAGTCCTGCCTAAGCATATGCAGCATTATTCGGTACAGTCACAGCTATAGTTATGTCTTATTCAACCAACTATAACTACGACTATAAGTCAGATCCTCCAACTCTAGAAAGTGGTAGATTTGTTTTCTACGCAACTACCTCTGTATTTATCTTTCATCATACTCTAAATATAGTTATCAGTGTTAGACATAAAATGCGTTTCTTTTTAATATTGAGTGAATATATTGATTAATAACGTTCACCGACGAAACAGCCGACGCGTAACACTCGCCTAATAAATATTCTTCTCATTAAAACCATTTTAAGTATACAAAAATTGCCAACTGCAAATTACGACAGCGTTAGGATTTATCAAGTTATTATGATTATTATTATTCAAACAAAAACACTTACCTGACCAGTCTGATTGACACTTAAGCCATAATTCATAATATTAACTATTTGACGTGCAATGTGAAATAAATGTTCTCGTTGTGTGACTAATTCTGGGATCTGTTTTACCAGGCGGACTGTTATCTCATTAATTGTAATTTCAAAATGTCTCAATGGTCTCGTTAGACGTTTACCTGAATCTGTACGCCCAAATATTATTGAATGTTTTGTTAAACCATTTATCCGATTCGGATCATTTTCGGGCAATTTTAAAACTTTCTAAAATATTTAGAGCAAAAATAAGACAGAAATGAAAGTGAGGTTAAAAAATGTTTTTCGATAGAATGACAAAAGAGTATTACCACTAAATCTAATACCCTTTTACGATTTATTCAGTGAATAGAAATCGTTGAATTGTAATTTTGTCATAGATTTTTCTTTTAGCAGAACTTAGAGACATATACTACTGTCGGAATTCGGTACGTGAATATCGAACATACCAACCACTTTTATTATTCACTTTGATCAGGAAGTTTTCAACGCATTAACTGTCTAGTTCTAAAGACGTCAGTGCAACCAATTTAATTCAATTGAGGAAGGAGAATTATTAAAGGCACTAGGAAAGGTTTCATTGAGTATAACTGAATGACATGTATATATTAGAATTTTCCATGTCTCTCTCTCTCTCTATATATATATATATATTATTTGGATATTACGCTTTTAAAACAGAGTTTTCACAACAGAGCTTCTCAAATGAGTGATCAGGTAAGTGCTTTTTATCATGAAATTAGTTTCACAGAAATTGGTTATGATATTTCATCTTTCATTTAATCTTGATTTTTAGGATTTAATTAATTTGCCTTTCTATGCATCAAACCTCTTTGTACGAATAAATTAATATAATCTACATTAGGATCTTGAACCTCTTTGTTAGTACTCAATAGTGATACTCAAGACACTCCTTCCATCTCACATGAGACTTATCAATCCTAATAATTCCGTTAATAGTACTATGAAGTGATGGATTCTAGATTTGCGACTAATTGAGAACAAGCGGAAATCACTAGGTTGGCAGTAATTCTGCCTAATTACTCCCAGATGAACTGAAATTTATGTCTGAAATTCCTCTACTACTGGTAATTACTAGATATGCAGTTTATTTTGCAATATGGAAAGTTAATACATTAAAAATGATGAATAGTGGAATAATGCCAGCTGAAAAATGGCGTAATATATGAAGTTCTGTTTCATAATCCTCTACTATTTTCTGATTCTACATCACATTATACTAGTTACCAGATAGAGCTGTCGTCAGCATTTTAAATCCGGCGGAAGTTTGGGCTTTATAAAACCATTACAAATTCTTCTTAATTTCAGGCTTCAAATTAATACTGACAAAACCGACAATATGTTTTGAAAATGATATTACCTCTGATTACCGAGAATCTCACTTACATGGTGAGCTTAATAATGACAAAAGTCTCAAATTTTGTGTGTAAAACTTGGACACTGCGGCAGTATGTAATTCCATATTAATTTGTATATTAGATATATCACACAGTGAAATAATATTTTTTTTAATTAAAAAAAAATTATTTTTAAATCAGAATTATAACAAGTAACTACATCGATAAAGTGTATTCACATTGAAAATAAGTAAATGAATACTTCACAAGTTATTTTATTTACAAATTTACAACGAAGGGAGGAAAATTCACCTGAATTTCTTGTTCATTTGGATTTCGTGGATTGGGCTGCCTTATAGAAAATCGAGGTAGATAAGCCATAAATGCACTGATAGCAGTCTCCAGTTTTGTGTAATCTGATTTCATGAGTGTAGCACTTGGACGTACTTTGAATGAATCTTCTGAATAATTACTTGTCGTTGGCATACTGATTTGTGTACACATAGTTAGATCCATCTCCGTACTACTATGTGATGGCATAAAGGATATAAATGGTGAAGGCTGTATAACTGAAGGTAATGATTGTAATGTCTGTGTTAAGGGTGAAATGATATTCTCCGTCTTAGGACTGTTCATTGTACTTTGTGTTGGTGATTGATTGGTTTCACAGGAACTATGAATTAATTCCTCATTATTTAGCATATTCTTATTTTGATCATGATTGTTATCTTCTTGGAATGATTGTTCAGGTGATTCATTGTAGCCATACAACTTGGGAAGGGTTGAAGTGATTAATTCACTACAGGGATTTTGTAATTTGACTAAGAATTGACAGAAAAAGATTTTTAAATAATATTGATTTGTAAAGTAAAATCAATGAAAGAATATCCTTTTCGATTTTATTTAATTGTTGATACATTTTAATTATTTAGAGGGAGGTAGCACATTTCGTTCTATCTATGACTCACTAGGTGAATCTATCTGCTTGTCAATACTTTAAAGAGACTTATTTACCAGATGCTCAGTTTGACTATCAGCGAAAAACAATATTATTTAGTAGGACTATAGTGCATACCAAATATGACTAAACGTACATTTTGGTTTCAGTGCTAATTTAAAGGTAGAAGGAAAAATCAAGCAAATGTGATCAAAAACTACTGATCAGTTCAATTCAGTAAAATCGATAACTGGAAACCACAAGTAGAAATGAGTACCTGCCTATTTCAACATAGGTACTCACAATCCTAGAAATATTTCTTTCTTAAATTTACATTCACCTCCGAAGAAAAATATTAATTACGAAAATCTTTCATGTCTCAATAATCTTCGGGTTTTTACTTAATTGACTACTGATAGTGGTAAAAATTTAATTTTGCTTACTGAATTGGAATGGAAATAGATTCGCTAGATACCTTAAACCATGAGCTAACTGAATGAGAAACTAATAAGCTGGTGGTAAGCAATGAATCAGTCTCCACAGCCTTCTCTATCTGATTAAATTCAGCATTTATCTGAATGGTGGTTACTTGAAACTTGTCATTTAGATTGTCAAGTAAACTAAGATATAATATTATGTCAATAAAACATTGTAAAACTGAATGCACTATACCAAAACTCCTCTTTCTTCTTTGCTTTTTGTAGACTAAAAATCACTTCACAAGAGGATTTCACTAAAAATCATCCTCAAACCAATGTTAAAAGCCTCGTTAAAGAAAATTCATTCTTGAAAGGTTAAAAAATACTAGTATAACTAATACTAAAACACCACCGACTACACTTCAAATACCTACCGCGACATATCAGTCAAGTATTTGGTGAAAAAAGTACATATTCTAACTGCACCGTAATTTATTTCAAGAATATGGATATGGAAAAATACATTTTATTTAATATTAAGGATCAGTGATAAGATTTTCCTTTTTTATTTTAAATCTTGGTTCTTTATGACATTAAAGCTTCAGTTTTACCATAATACTGCTATACCTCAGCGTGGAACTGCCATGCAGAATACTTTTATAGCATATTTCGTAAGGAAATGACACCCATTAGAGGGACAGTGAACAAATGTTTCACCGAAAATTACGGCTGCTTAACAGGGCCCACTCAAAATACTAAATAACAATATAGCTCTCTTAGTGTAGTCAGTAAATAACTATCCTCTCCGCCTTGAGATTAATCTCCTACTGGTTACTTGGTGTGTACTTTGAACGGCATGTTATGAAATAGTTCTTTACTGTCTTTTAGTTTTCAGGACTTATCTAGTTTATTTCGTTACATCAACAAATCTACTTTAAGCCAAGCATGCACAAATACAACGAAAACACAACACTGTTGCATCAAATCAATGACACTTCTAGTGTCATTGTCATGATTGACAATTCACTGTTAGATATGTTTCTAATTTAAACACTAGCATACAAGTAACTTCAAAATCTCACGCAACAAAACTTATTCTTATTTTCAAGTTTTGGTTTGCAGGAATTTGATTGGTTTCTTATTTCTAAATTTCGACATCTTTAAAAAGAGATGGATCAGGCAACTATGATGTCACTGACTTGTCCAAATGTGATTTCTCTAATCTGTTTCACATTTGCCTTTGTTCATTTAATCATTTTTTAGTTGACATATCGAGGATGAATAGCTAAGAGAGTGAATCAGTTTTATCTCGGGTTAGGGTAACGTAATCATTATTTCCATCACTTAAATTGAATTCGTGAAGAGGAGGGAGTGGGGATATTTTCCTATTACCACACAATTCATCATTAGACTCATCCTGGTCCACTCACCACCACTCATCCCCATCCTTTCATTCTGACATTATGTGAATAAAGAATAGTGAAAGAACAAAGGTTAGCTTGTTATTAGTATAACTGATAATTATATTTGTCTCTTTTTTTTTAATTGTATAAACCTGACTTGCTATATTCATGCTTTCGTTTTTCATCTTTTTCTTGATGGTAAGACTCACTTAAATAAAGAGTCAGTCAAGTACAATAAGGAATAGTTTTATTCCAATAAAAAGACAGCTTTCTAAATAATCTTATTTTAGCTAATGACGTTTCATGATGCTTTCTAGATTACACAAAGCATACTCTGTTTATCACAATACGATCCAATTCAACAGTTATTACTTATCAGCTTTTATCTTTTGACTGTGTTAATTATGAGCGCACTAAGTAATTCAGGTAACTTTTTAGTTTAAATTGTGCTGCTTTGATGAATTATTATGTAACAGATAATCTACTTCATGAAGTTTATAACTCGAAGAAACAACAGTAGGATAACATGTTTGCAACTGTGAAATTGTCCTCACTGATCGTGTTCGTACATAGTAAAGCTTTGTATATCAATGAAAATATCTGGTAGGTCATCCTCATTCAAAAAGCCCATACCCTAGAAGTGACCTCCATTGACTCTAATTAAATATCCTCCCAACAAAGTATGTGCAAAGTATAAGGAGAAGTCACCTATTAGGAGAATATGAAGTGAATCAAAGTTGAGGTTGAATACAGATGTGATACTTGATTTAAAAAATTCATCTATGCAGATACATAACTTATTTATGGGTTTATAAATATACAGGAGTAGACGCACTAAAATACTGATTGTCAGTAAAAAAAGAAAGAACTCTAGAAAGTTCCTCAGTAAAAAATACTATTACTAAAATTTCCGGGTCAATAATTCTTTCACACCACGTCGCATCCTCGTGGAGATGTCTATAATAGGACCTGCTGTACGTATTTCATGTGATATTGGAATTCAAGACCTTTTCTTCATCCTGCTTGGGGATGGATTTGTTACTTCCACATAGATTTGAGTCACTCATTATACGCTTTACACTTAGTGGATTCTGATAACTTTTACTGATCACTTCATCTGGGATGACACCTCAAAATTTCAAGTCTAATGAGAACAACGTGTTGATTCAGCCATATACATAGAAATCCATGTTTCATCTGTCCTACATCCTAAATTATAATCTCGAAGATTAGTTTATTTCACTAATTGTGCAACGTTATCCATATGAACTCTACTTATGAATGTCTCATGATACTGTAACAACTTATATAACTTATAGGTTGACAAATGAATATCATTAGAAACTTTGATTGTCTCCTTTGAAAATCACTTTAATTGACTAGAAGATAAAACGAATAAGTTTTCAGGTGCTAATTAATATAGTTTTTTTTCTCACGTGTTTTGATAACACTACGTGCTTTCTGGTGATTATACTGAGTGTTTTAATACTGTATAACCTTCCTCTTATTAAATTCGACAACTGGTGATACAAGTTTCAGTCTTAGAGTGAACATAATTTCTCACAATACTGCAACTGTGTAACAAGAATAATGTGAATTAGAGTCTTCTTTAGACTGACTTTTAATACCAAAGACAATTTCGCTCAGAACACGTTAATATTCAGATGAGTGATACTTATCGGGGAAAAAAAAATAATTAACAGTTTATAGGACTTACCAAATTTATTATCATTTCCGTCAGTATCTTGTCTTGATGTAATAAGTTGTTGATTTGTTATTGCCATCGCTAATGCTTGAAGAATTGAATAATTTTGTTGATTATTAAATAACGTCCAAGGATTCAGTAAAGGGTTTACACTCTGTAGATTAGTTGGAAAAACGCACTGTGGTGTTGGAAGTGTATTCAATATTGGTGAAGTTGGAAATATATTTAATCCTGAATACAGTGGTGGTATAAGTGGACACCAGCTAGTTTGCGTTAGACTACTAGTGTTTCCTTCATTGTTTAATCTTGATCCGTTGAATGAATACATACTGTTTGAAGTTCCTTCACGAATATTTATTTGTTCAACAGTAGATGAAGTGTTATTCTGTGACGCATGCTGAGCAAGAGCTTTCTTAAATCTTTGAATATGTAATGGCTTTCTGTCCATTCCAACTAATTTCATTAGTTGATCAAATTCATTAGGGTCTTTTAGTAATTCAGTTAACTGTTGAATATCATCACCACCTTGGAAAATTACGAAGGAAAAAAAATTAGGTGGAAAGATGTAAAATACGAAATATCAGGTTTCATTTAGTAATTTCAAGTGGTAATTGCTAAATTGATTGGTAGGATACCATAGACACTGGTTTCAGGTACATAGACACATCAATACACAACATGCCCGATCTACAAATTTCGATTAGTTCTACAGATCAGCTTCTAGTGATTAATTTGCGTAACTGAAGTACTTTACAAACATTTCTGAAAATGCAATAAAGGCTTCATTTGTTGTAACACTTTTAACTTTACTAAAGTTAAAGACATTTATTATTTGTACCCCATAAAATTATCAGATCAACGGTTTGACGGTGATCTAGATTTATTAGTAAATTGATGTGAAGTTCAAAGTTCAAAAATACCCATTGAGTGATGAAGAAAATAGAAGGCAAATTCAGTACAGAAAATTTTCCTTATCGACGAAATCATAGTCAGAGGCTGCACATTAGTATTTATATTTACCGGAACCATTTAGAAGTGTCTCAATGGGTAATAAGGTAGACATGACATAATTGATATAATTACTAAGAAGTGGTTCCTAAAGTCAAAAAAAAGTTGAAAAATTACGCAACATTCAATGACACAATCGAAGAAATGGTTTGAGATTTGATAAGGTTAAGACTGTTATTGAGTGTGAACTAAGGTAGTTCTGCGTTCACTTGACGAGTACCCTATTGCTGAGTAATCCCTATTACTAGTACAAATAATGAATATCTTTAACTTTCGGACACATCTGGATAATTCAGTGATTCCTATTGTAACATAAAGAGTACAATATTCATCGAAAAGACTCTTGCCAACGAATTATTTATTAAGCTGTACAATCGCATTTATAAATAATTTTCAAGAAACTACATCCCGTGTGGATACTTACAGTAACATTGCGAAATGCAAGAAAATATTAATGATTATTATCTCAGTTCAAAATCAAGCGATAAAATAAATAACTGCATGTATAAAATAGTGCACAGAATGTACAGATCATGGAAAGGGATGGGAAATTAAGACGATTAGTAGGATAAGTGGGCAAATGAAACATTACGTAACATGAAAAGGAGTTTGATAAGGCAAATTTTAACATTTCAAATATACATATATATATTTTTACGAGTTGATCACGGACTGATATCAGTTAGAGAACCATTGAGAACCAGGGAGTACTGGACTCTAACTGATATCAGTCCGTGATCAACTCGTAAAAACATAATAAACCCTTACAAACCAAACTATAGAATATATATATATATATAGGTTCAAATTAATAAGTAGAACAAGTGAAATAATACCCGAATCACTTCAAATGTGAAAACAAAAATAATTCCATTCATGATAATAAGGGAAAAGTACTTAGATTAAATAATCAGCGAGAAAAATAAATAAGTAAATACATGTATATCCAGCTGTTAATACTGTATCACTGCATGGCGTGTAAAATAAACTTATCTGATATGCAGTTATATTCTACCACAGAGCTCAATTTCTACACTTGCATTTTCATCTTTTGTTCACAAAGGTCTAGCTTGAAGTCATGAATGGCTTCTGAAGTCTTCACAAGTGTGAAACGATGGAAATGCGGTAGATAATGGAGTCTCCTATAGACGACGTTAAAATCATGGTTGTGGTTGTTAGAGTGACAGAGTTCGATCAAGTGTTCTAGAATACATTTTCTCTCACCCTTCCGTTCTCCCCTGCGAAAGCATGCCAGAATGTGCTCTTGTATCCACATGGAAAGCATTATGTGGCTACGGCTAATGTACCTTGCTATTTTATATCTGACAATATTTGTTTCATCGCTTGATAATGAACTGAGATTATAATCATAGACATTTTATTGCATTTCACATTGTTATTATAAGTATTCATACCTCTGTCTAGATTTCTTCACAGGATATAGTTTCTTGAAAATTATATCTTTATATATATATATATATACATACATATATATATAACTCCATTATTGATAAGATTTTATTTTGATAAATCACACAGTGTTATACATCAATATTAACTGATGATTGTGAGCAATAGTTTGTGCTCAAAACGTCATCGGTTAATATTACTGTATAACACTGTGTGATTTATCAAAATAAAATCTTATCCATAATGGAGTTAATCCTAAGCTCTTTCACCGACGTCAGTTTGTGACTAAAACCCATCTTCCAGTCAAAATGGATTTTGAAATACCTGGCGATAGAGTAGCCTGGCCAGGAAGTAAACAAAAAACTTCTTCCAACTGACAGTGCTGAGAGTAAACCAAATCATTATTAATCTGCCCTTTATCTACAAACCTCCTTTATTCTTATGTCTAATATATCACTTAACAGCATTTTCGCATTTACTTTTGATAAACAATCAGTAACACTATAAGAACTATGTAAACGACTTAGAATAAACAGTACAAGAAGTATTGTACAAAATAGTTGATAATAACCAGGAAGTAAGTGATAAATCAACATAAACTTACCATGATTTATAAATGCATCAAAATATTGTAACAGTTTAGCTTTTTGTAGTAACAGGTAGACTTCGTATTCTCCAAGATTTTGAACTGAATTCCGTTTAGCATCCATACAGACTGATTTCACCACTTAGTTTTATTTTATTCATAGAATTTCTGTTATTTTTATATGCTGTGGAAAATTAGTTGATCCATTGTGTATTCAATGTCTGCTTACTATTCGTACTCCTACCTTTCTTCAAATCCACCCACCCCTTGAACACATTGTTACACAACTTTTTTAATTTTTACCCTATAAGTTGATTCATTTCAAGTGGATAAATCATTATTCGTGTTTCCCTTCTTCCATGTTCCTAGTCTATCTCTCCTCTCTCACTAATCTAAACTGGACTGATTATGTAATCATTTAATGCGTTAAGGATGACTCATCACAGTTTAGGTTGTCGTGTCTACCTGAGATAAAAACAGATAAGACAGTGAACAGAGGTCATAATAACAAACAGCCGGTTTATCACATCTCACTACCAGTCATTAAAAATAGATTAGGATTTTGAAAAGGAAAGAATTCATTAAAATCCTTTACGAACCCAACATAAAACGAATGAGGACAATTTTTTAAGTATTTAATTCATTTCTAGTGGAAATGTAATTACATAATACATATTTTCGCTTATCACTGTTAAATGAAGTGTTAGGGTCACTTAAGGAGTCAAAGAACAAAAATGGAGGTGGATGAGAGGTAGGACAGAAAATTCTAAAGCGGATATAATCAATAAGTGAGATGACGTTATCTTATCAGAAAGAGAAGATGATTCATGTAACTAAGATAGAATGTAATCTTGAGAAGAAATTTCTGTGACCACTCAAACCACTCAGAAATCCTTCAAACGGAAATTTCATTTGTCTTCCATTTTCAATGAGCCACTGCAGTAAAATACGGTCATTAATGTATCACAGCTTTTTAATTCAGCACGATTCATTCAATATACGTAATATAAAAGAACTTTAAAAGTGTTTATCTGAATAGTAAAGTATGACCATTCAGTCAAATATTTTAATCCATTTCTAGTAATTTGATAGGAAAAGCCATCACACTGGCACCTTAGCCAATTTTCCAAATCCCAAATCGCATCATAATGAATTAGAAGGAGGAAAAGGATGGTTAAATGAAGATCTGGTTACCAGTTGGTTTTATTAGCTCTTAAAGGCCTAAAAAATGAGCACAGTTGTATCTAAAACAACAACTTCAATAGTCGGTCTAATCAAGGGCAGTAATTTCGTTCTAAATATTACCAAAATAAAAACTTATCACTGCATGTCAACAAATAATGCAATATAAGTATGATTAGTTTGGCAATTGTTTCGAGTTGAGAGAAAGGTTTTTAAATCATATTTACTCACCGCCCATCATATCAGTGTCACTATGATAAGGCTCAGTCTGCCTTATAGAGTTTTAAATCATGAAAAATACACATTTATTCCTAAGTAAAAACACAGTTTTTGGTCAGCGAAGAAACTTTTTTCAACGACTTCATTTTCAAGCTGTACAGTCGTATTTATATTACAGAAAAGGTTATTAAGTGGCACTAAATAGTTACTCAGTCAATATACATACATGTGATAAGAATGACGATAATTAAAATGTAATAAGGGGTAGAGTTGAAGTGGATAAATTACAAAATTATTAAAGATTGTTTTATAAGTGAATTGAAATCAAAAATGTTTTAAAAATGCCAAGTGTTGTTTAAAAATTTTAAAAAATTAAGAGTACGATTACGATAAGAATGAAGATGTGAAGTGAAGTGGAAAGAATTCAAGTGGTAAAATAAAATAAAGTGAAAACTAGAAAGAACATTACTATGACCAAGGTAAAGAAAGGGGTGTGACAAAACGTTTTTGAACACAATTTAAGTTTCTGTTCATGTATAGTTAAAGCTTCGGCTATGCATAAGTGAAGAAAACATAAACTTTTGGATCGATTCGATTTTGCCATGTAGATAACTTTGAAAGATGAATCACGTGGGGCTAAATGACCTGACTCTAACAAGTGATCACAGATAGACGACTTCACAGTTCTACGTTCGCCTTCCATTAACCAGACTGGATAGTGTTCAGCTACACATTTTCGGAGATTACGCTTACAACGTCCAATATAAACAGCTCCACAAGAACAGGTAAATGAGTAAATATACATAGATGTGGACAAAAGCGGTAATCTATCCTTGACGCATTGTCCAATCATATTTTGGCTGGTAAAAACTAGTTGTAAGTCAGCTGCAGGAAAAATGCGTTTAATACACTTAGATAAACGATTTTTAATCAATTCCGAAATGGTGTCACCTTTGAGTGCCAGACTCATAAACAGTTTCTTCTTTGGCGCTGTAATAAGTCTAGGGGCGGGTTCTTTCTTGATGTTACGTTCAATAAACCTTGTAGGATAACCATTGTTAAGGAGATTTGATCGAAGGTTATCTAGTTCACTATCGATTGTCTCTGAAGAGCAGATTTTACGAATTCTAGAGCATAAGGAATGAATAAGATTTCTCTTTCTCCCTAACGGTACCCAACTGTTGAAGTTAGTGTACTGCCCGGTGAATGTTGGCTTTCGGTAAATCGACCTTAACAGCGTTCCATTCTCTCTTCTGTCTAGCTTAACGTCAAGGAAGTGAAACGAGGAATTCGATTCTTCTTCGACCGTGAAAAGCAAAGATGGGTGAGAACCATTAAATATTCCAAGAAGTTCAGCAGTTGAAGAGTTTTCATCACAGACAATAAAGGTATCATCTATATATCTTTTATACATAAACAAACTATCGATGGTTTCCGTTAGTGGGCCATTCTCTAAGCCTGCCATGAAGACGTCCGCTTAGATAGCAGATAGTGTCTACTAGTGGTACATTTGTGAACAATGAACAAACATCTAGCGAAATCATATGCTTACCAGACACATTAATTTCATCAACACAACTGACAAAGTCGAAAGTGTCGGAAAGAGTATGTTTACGTAGATTTAATCTCACTGGTTCCAGAATTTCCGCAAGCCATTAAGCGGTAGGGTGATACGGTGAATTCAGCATATCCAATACAGGCCGCAGAGGGACATCATCTTTGTGCACCTTTGGAAGACCCTTTAAACGAGGGATAGTTGAACCAGATGGTTTAAGCTGTTCATACATATATGTAGTAATGATACATTCTTGCTTTAATTTTGTCAAAATTTTTGATAAATCTATGTAAACATAGTCTTTCCGACACTTTTGACTTTGTCAGTTGTGTCTGGTAAGCATATGATTTCGCTAGATGTTTGTTCATTGTTCACAAATGTACCACTAGTAGACACTATCTGCTATCTAAGAGGACGTCTTCACGGCAGGCTTAGAGAATGGCCCACTAAACTGACACTGGTCAGCAGTGACGTTATATCTCATTATACAGTGGATTACTGAATGGAAAATGTGTTTGGTTCACCACCTGAAGGTCCTGTGTTGGTTTCCTGGTGGAACCATCTGGGCACACCACTGGATATTCCTAAACCAAAATAAAACAGCTGTTGGTTTTCAGTTACTCTGTAACTGACTTAGGTTTGCAAACTAATCTGCATTGAAATCATTCAAATTTCCAGCCTTTGGAAACTTAATTAAATGTTCCCATAACTTATGCCTGTTTTATTGGCATAATTAACTATATGGAGGGTATTTTCATTAGATAATGAAATCACTTGTCATTTGAGCGTCTTTTTACACTGTAAAATATTTTTATAGAGTAATGAACTTAAACTGTGGGTTTTTGTAGGAATCTGGATAGATTTTAATATTGATTTCGTCATGAACCAACATCGGCTAGGTATAATAGAAAACCAGGTAAACTAGATAGCTGTTTCGTATAATTTGGGACTCTTCAACAGTGGGCGCCGACAACCTCAGCAGGGGTAAAACAGGGACTTTCATGTTATGAGGCCAAGCTCGTTGACAGTTCAGCCACTTGGGTCGGAATTCGATTATATCTTATGCCAACTAGTGATAAAATAATAACAGATTTGTTCCGGACAAAATACTTATGCAATGTACAGAATTTTCAATGTAATTTATTACATAATACTTTCTCTTCATCCAGGATCTTCAAGTAAAATAGAAATCTCTACTATACCATGTTATGAAGTGCTGTTCGACCTGAAGCAGAGACTAATCTCTCATGATATTTTTCCTTCGTCTATGAGAAATGAGCATTGGTAGTTTGAAAACCAATCAAAAATATGCATGAGTACATTTTGTGGTTTAAAGACATAACTGAATGGTTAAAACGAGAAGAATTAGAGAAATTATACTGTATTGTGTTGGATGAGAATTCAGTTAGCCCAGTGATTCATTCACACCGTACTGCACTCAATCAATGTCTTTAATTAGTATCCACTTGACATTAACATGGTGGACCCGATTACTCAAAGCTTCTGAGTACAGCTCCTATACATCCAACTGGTAGCCATCAATGGGCTGAAGAGTGATATTTAGATTATGCGTTTTTGTAGGGGCTCGGTTAATTTCAACGTTGATTTGCGACGAAATCTACATTGAAAATAATAAACCTGCCTTTATGAAATCATATGTAATGGGATTATAAAAATGTTATAACAAATACTCATTTTGCAGTAATATTTCGGCTGGAATTAGGGGATTCAAACTTTTGTTTGAGCTTCAATCATTACCTTAACACACAAACAACATTTTGCCTTAACTGAGTTCCCTTCAGATAGTCACATCTGCGACAATCCTTATGGTATTGTGGGTTACAGACATTACCATCGATGTATTAGAGTACTTCATTGTAGTTGGTCGATATTTGATTCAGTCTAATAGCTAGAAATAGAGGGGAAAATATAAACTATTGTAAATCAAGCTTTCTGCGCTTTTATTTCAGTGTACTTATATAGGTAGAACGTAGTCGGTCAAATACAACTTGACTTTCTTCAGGTAGTGAATTTTGTATTACTTGCCTAGTGGAATGCCGTAATCATATCGGATGCTACGCTTGCCTCTTCTAAAGGTGTTTTACCAACTTTTTCACACAGCTGGAATGTTTGTTGTAGCACTTGCTATACCATACGCGAAAACACGT